CCAAAATTTGTTTGATTGTTGATTTGTTTACTTAATGCATGTATTTTCGAACATGTTTTCTTTTTGCATCTATTTAAATTATTTTTTTTTAATTTAGTTGTTGCTATAAAAATGTTAATTTTGCTTGTTAAACAATTAACCTGATGATGTGTCATAATAATATGATGGTCCTTTTACCCAGAATTTTTTTACTATCTCTGATATTTTATTATTTTTTTAATTTTATTATGATAATTGTTCAAACTTATTTAATATTGTTTGTATGTTTTATTTCTTGGAAATAAAATATGTGTGATAGCCTATCACTTGTTGTGGTCCTATCACTGATAGGACCACAACAAGTGAAGATGAATAATGAAGATTTAGTGTTTTACAAGATTTTTAACACGTTAATCGCCACGATAAGATGAGAAAAAAATTAATTATTAACTCAAGACTCTTTCAATAGATAACATCCAACTACATCTTCATTTTTCAATAATAAAGACTATTTTTCATCATTATTCATCTTTCTTCATATTTTAACAGATAATATTTTTATAGTCCAGTCATTATAGTAAGTTCACCTCGGAATTCGAGATACCCAGCTGTAAGTTTGTAAATACTCTAAAATAGCACCCTAAAAGTTGTCTCAAAACCTTCTTAAGGTAGGATTTACGTGCCATATGTAGGTTTTGAGACAACTTAAGGGTGCCTCCCGGGTTTACAGCTGGGTATCTCGAATTCCGAGATTCTTACCCAATTTAAGCTTAAATGACTGGACTATTAAAGTGTGTGTTTTGTGTTATTACTAATGCTTATATAATATGATTATTTAGCGTACAAGAGTAATGGATTAAAATCTGTTGCTGCTTTCTGCGGCAAATCGTTGAGAAAATGCGCCAAATTTCGCAAAAGTTTGACATCTGCTTTATTATTGTAAGTAATTAATATATTAATTTAGAGATTAATGCATGAATAAATAAACAGGGTGACTCAGAACTTATGGTCAAGCCGAAACGGGGATAGTATTGACCTTTGTCTTGAAAAAAATTAGAAAAAAAATATCTGACGTTGTTTGGGAAAATGATCTTTATTAAGTGCAACCTAGAGCTTTAGTAAAATTATGACTATTTTCCGGTTTGTGATTTGTTTTTATTAATTTTGTTCATTTATACTTTGTTTCAATAAATTTTCTTAACGTTTGTTCTTATATTGTCAATAATTAAATTATCCACATTCAGAGAAGATCCATTTATTGAAAAGTTCATTTATTGGTCAACAATTAAATGTTAGGCAATTCAGTAATCAGTTTTTTTTCAATATAACTATTGTATGTGATAAAAAACTCATAAAATCAATAATATTGATTTATTTTCAAAATCTGATTAAATTTTAATTTTTGAGTTATTAATCTGTTTTATTTATATTTGTATAAAGAGACGTTCCAGAATTACATTAATTGAATAAATTTATACTGATTTATTTTTAAAATTATTAGTTAATTAACATTAAAGTGCAACCTAGAGCTTTGGTAAAATTATAACTATTTTTCGGTTTGTGGTTAATTTTTATTAATTTTTTTTATTTAAACTTTGGAATCGTTTCTTTATTAATTTCTAAGACCATAGTGAAAAATAATATCACAATTACCCTGGGCTTTCAAGAATTAAGACTTTTTGTTGAATCTTGAATTTAAAATGTTTGAAATCGGTCGTCTTTAAGAGGCCTTCCTTTAAAAAAAAGTACTAAAGTGTACACATCGTTTCGGCTTCACATTAAGTTCTGGGACACCCTGCAAACTTTGCTATGTATGCTTGTTGATTATATTGATATTAATTACCATATTAATGAATGCCGCTAGATAGATTATTTGCATTTTGATATAAATTTGGACATTTTTATGAAATGAAGACATTTTTCACCATATATAACATCAATCATCGTTTTGCGTAGCATTCAGGTAAATCTCAATAATCGATTCGAAAAAACAACCAAACCTTTGTTTTATTCTGATAAATCTGGTTGCATATATATTACATTTTTGCGATTTCTGCAGTCAAATTGTTTAAGTAAAAAATTATAAATACTTAAAATTATTTTGCTGCACGTTTCGACTCCGTATGTGTATCATCATTCAGCAGTTTTACTGTTAATTTTTAGAAAGGTTGAGCAATGACATATATAAAGTATCGAAACGTTTTTAATAAATAATTTCAAGTATTTTAACATTATATAGCTGTATATTTTAATAGTATAACTGCTAAAATCTCACGTATGCGTTTTAATGTCGAACAAAAAATCTAAGGTTAATATTATAATCATAAATAGTGGTCTGTCCAATGGCAGGTTCATGGTGTGAAAGCACCACAAATCAATAATTTCCATTCCCTCTTTTATTTATCACTGTCATTGCCATTTTATTACTATAATTCACTGTATTTTCTCTTCTCGCGAAAATAATCAATCATCTGCATTCTTCTTCTTCTCAATCCTTGTAGCCTTTATATGTTACCTTTGACGACGTACACTGGTCCTAGATAAAAACTGCAAAGCTGTTTAACAGACACCTATTCTGATATTAGAAAGAACAACTTAGGTATATATAAATATCTATATACAATAAACTTCTATACATTTCGAGTCCCAGTTTGACTCTTCCTTAGCGAAAAATCACAAATTCAAAAAACAAACATAAAATCTACATCCATTGTAGAACATAATTATATATTTAATTTAAGGAAATTGAATTAAAAATAAAGTAGAACTTACAATACAAATAGAACAAAATTTGCAGTGATTTATGAGACACGCTGATCAGTGATTTTTATATATTTATATATATATATATATATATATATATATATAAATTAAAATAACGCGGAACAGGCGTTCGCTATCGTTATAAATCAAAAACAATTCTATTTTCAAATCAAGTTCAGCAGTTCGTTGCGCTGTTCTTATAAAAATCACACTTTTATAAAACATCGAGACATTTTTAATTAAAATATAGTGATTCATATAAAAGTTCTATCTATTTTTAAAAGCTAATCTTTTTTGTATTTTTTTGTTTCGAAGGATGTAATATAATACTGCTTATTAACTTCAATTTTTCACTTATTAACTTCCCGTAGTGTAAGTTATAGTAATCGCAAAAAAACGAAAATAAGTTTTTTATATATCTTTACGTTTCAAAGGTTTTTGAACATTTTGGCATACCTTAGAAAAAATGGATGTGTGTGTGTGCGGGCGAAAAAAATTTTCGTCGACGATTTTGAGAACACGGATCAACCGATCTGAATAATTTAAAAAAACATTTGATGCGTTTTGGTAAGGAGACGAGCTGATTACTTTTTGGCAGCAGGTTGACCTTTTCGAAAAATAAAAATTTAAAAATTCGAAAAATTTAAAGTTTCAAAACTACAATTTTCGAAATTTTTCATCATTTTCAAAAAAAGTAACATTTCGAACAATATTAAAATAAAAAACTATTTTTTACAAAAATTTGAGAATATTTCGAAATTTTCAAAAAATCCAAAAAATTTCGAACTTTTAAAAATTTTTCAAAATTTTGAAAAAAATTCTAAATTATCAAAAAAAATCTAATTAAAATGAACAAGTTTCTTGTAAACAAACACATAAGTTATTTGTAGAATACGCTCGTCGCCCAATAAAATAAGTACTTATAAATTTACAGTACAGTATTTATAATAAATAATCTATTTGAAATCATTTAAAAGAATTATTGATTATTTTCATTCCTCGAATTTTTAATTATGGTACGGGAAATTTCAGCAATTTGCCACGATGCCATGCACCCCACTAGTTACTAATTTTTGTTTTAATTTTTTAGATTTAATGTATTTATGTGTCGATGGTATATGAGTTGCCTATAGTATTTTCCTTTTACAACAAACTGTAATTCATATATATACAATGACCAAACATAACATACTTTATCACAATTGTGTGTGATAAGAACTTAAACAATTATCTAAAATAAAAGTCACAATTCTTAATATGTTTTTCACATGTGTTCGTATGACAATATATCTCCAATGAGGATGTACTCTGGCATGGTTTCCATACCAAATATCATCCGTTGAATATTGGCCAAGGGTTTTGTTGTTGTTATTGCTGTGATCCTTAGTGAAATTTTCCGAGTTTTTTTCCTGTAACTTAATTAATGTTAATAGTGATAAATTTTAAAATAATCGTTTCTCTATAAAAAAGTAGTGCGTGTAATGGAAGGAGTCCGCACAGCTGCGGCCCCGTCGCCACCTATTATTGGAACGCGCGCCAATAACTTGCGCGAATGTCTATTTCCGTGTTCTTTGCTTTCGATCGGACACCAGAACGCTCGGACCGGCGTGGAAAACTCATGTTTCTGATCTCATCGGATAATTTGATCGAGCGAACTAATCACTTGATGAAATTATACTCTTTGAGAATTTACATATCTCAAGTGCATAATTAACGGCCAAAGAGAAAGAGAAATATTATGGGTATGGCCGGATTTAGAAATTTGGCGTCCTGGAGCACTGACGAAAATGCCATCATTTTTCTAAAATTAAAATAACTATTTGATTGCAGAAAATTTATCACGCATTACATACTTGTTTTATGTATAGATATAATATTTTTCTTAATTTCTAAATTTTGCCGCCCTGGGCACCAGCCCCGACTGCCCCTACTATAATTCCAGCACTAAGGTAGGGCGAGGTACATAAGACCAATTTGACTTTGAACAATTGTATATTGTGAAAACTAAACCAATTATGTCACAACAAATCAAATACCTATTAAACAACTATCTGACTATGTTCAGTAAAACTTCTAGCTAATTCATTATTGTAGAAACGTGTTTTTTTGCTGTTTTTCAAACATTTGTAATCCCACAAGGGGGGTAAAATGGGACGTCCAGGGCGCAAACAGGTCTAGATAGATAGATTGATAAAGACATATATTTCAATAATTATGAATGTGTACATAACACTTCCTGATTTTGTTCGGATTTCTACCCGCAGGTATATCATCCCTCATATCTGTTCTATCAATACAATAATAATTATTTTAAATATAAAAGATGTGATACATTTGTGTGACAAAAATGAAGGAAAGGAAAATTTCCCTCAAAAAAAAAATCATTATATTTATAAACAGGTCTAATGTCTTATTTTCAAATTTAAAGGGATTTTACGAAATAATAGCTATATTATTCAACCAATGCAAAATATAAATTTTATGGGTACATTTCTTACTAATAATATAGTATATACGACCTGGTATTTAGCAGAGAGTAGGTCCTTTGCGAGTTCATTTGGATGGTTTTCCAATCTTGACTTGTATTTAAAATATTATAAAATAACCTATTTCTATGAAATCAGTATCATAACTTGTCTTATAGGTAACCTATGTAGAAACTAATTTGAATCTAGCTCAAATAGCAGATCTGCTAATTATTTTATAACTGACGAAACAGTCTATAATTAAAAA